TATGCAGTCTATGGAGGGTCTATGCAGAGTCTATAGAGTCTATGCAGAGTCTATAGAGGGTCTATGCAGAGTATGCAGAGTCTATAGAGAGTCTATACAGTCTATGGAGAGTCTATAGAGGGTCTATGCAGAGTCTATGCAGAGTCTATAGTCTATGCAGAGTCTATAGAGTCTATAGAGAGTATATGCAGAGTCTATGCAGTCTATGGAGAGTATGCAGAGTCTATGGAGAGTATATGCAGTCTATAGAGAGTCTATGGAGAGTCTATGCAGTCTATGGAGAGTCTATGCAGTCTATAGAGAGTCTATGCAGAGTCTATGGAGAGTCTATGCAGAGTCTATGGAGAGTCTATAGAGTCTATGCATAGAGTCTATGCAGAGGCTATAGAGAGTCTATGGAGTGTCTATGGAGTGTCTATACAGAGTCTATGGAGTCTATAGAGTCTATGGAGGGTCTATGCAGAGTCTGTGCAGTCTATGCAGAGCGAAGTGTTCGAAATTAAACAGACATGAAAATACTCATATGGATACATCACAAATACAACCATTACATTGTGAAATAATGCAATATGTCCTCAAAAACCAGATCATTGACTCTATTGCATTACAGCAGTTTTTCAATTGTCAATATCACTCTTTAAATAATTATTTTATTTCAGAATGCCACTTTGCATCAAAAAGGCTGCGTCTTCAATCACGACTGAAAATGTCAATCAAGACAAAACGGTCAGTGTCCACTTTCCAGCTTTTTCCAGAACTTAATGATCTTCAACAGCAAATTAAGTTATTTGCCAAGTTCTCATGGAGATGGCTCAGTTGCCATGACCTCAATCACACCAACATGTACACTCAGAGGCCCCTAAAGTAGACCGTACAATCCAATGGAATTCAATTTAATAGCTCTGCCATAAATTCTACTTTTACAAAGTTTGATTCTTGACATTTTCAGTAGTGTGTAAATTTAGTATGTTTATTACCGTGGTCATAGTTAAGGTTGTACTAGAGGTTATATTTAAAGATGGTTCTCATGTTTTATCCCCTCCATTTACAGACATGAGCAGAAGAAAGAACCTCTGGTGTTAGAACTTTTCCCATTATTCATTTAGGTGATCAATTCTATGGCAAGCAAACAGTAATTCATCCACCCAGTACTAGTAAGGGTTAGTGTGTACACAGTTCAGTAGTGTGCAGTTTAGGCTATAGGCCAGAAACTAAGACCCAGTATCATGTTGAGCAATGATTATTTGTTGATATTGCAATTTGGAACTTTGCGTAATAATTCAAATTGAGGATTCATCTTTTAGCTGTGCAGCCCAGTCAAAGGATGAAAGGCCTAAAGTGCTTGGAAAGCTAAGAAAATGTGTTGTACAGATGCATGTCTAATTTAAATAAAACACCCATCTGTAGTTGTAAAAGCAAGATTAAGCACCAACATCACTGCGTTGTCATTTTTTTTTTTTATTCAAGCACATCAAGGGACCACCTCCATCTCAACAGTAATCTAGTGCTTTGCCTTAAGTGTTCAACACCATACCCACCACCAAGAACACAATCCTTACTTTCTCAGCTTCACATGCTGCAAGGTGATCGTGAATACATGGGAGCCCAGCAACAAGTGAGATGCTGATGAGTCAGTAATAATTCGTTAGCGATTCAACATCTGGTCAGTCATCCAAAGCATTGCTTTAGAATTCTCACCAAAATCAGTGAATTGAACAGGTGATTTGCTATAGTTGATTTACAACAAGAAGACACGTCATCAGTTGTACCAATATCATAGTTGGTGGGAGCACCACCATGAAGAACAAAACATTCATGAGGAATCAAATACATTTGTTTTTTGTCAAGTAGTCACGATCCCCATTTCCACAATACTGAAATGCAAGTTGAATCACCATTTAGTAATGGAAGAAGAGAGTAAAGTTCAATCCTGGTACAGCAGGAAGCCAGAAAAAGTGCTGTACTTCCAGGTGCTGCCATAGATGGCACCGCGATGCAACCGGATCCAAACCTGGTCTCCTTGGAAGAGAGGCAGGATGGCATGGTTGCTGGCCGTCTCATGATCTGGGGCTCCATCGTTGGCATACGCAGACACCATCACCTCTTCGTTGCGCATGAGGTTAATGTAGAGAGGCACGTTGATGGCGAGCTTCAGGATGTGGAAGATGAAGACATAGGTTCCATTGACAGGACAGGTGAAGCGGCCGACGTGGGTGTCGTACATCTCCCCTAGGTTGCTGTGCAGCTGGTCAAACACGATGGGCTGATCCAGGTTTCCAGGGGCGAAGTTGGCAGTGCGAGAAGCGTTGAAGGCCACTCTAAGCGGCTGGGAGAGCGGGTGGAGTTGCATGGGAAGCAGGGCGTGATGGTGGCCATGGGGAGTCAGAGGGACCTCCATGGTGGAGACCGACAAAGAATCCCCATGACCAGAGTCCACAATTGTAAAAGCCCCCTCTCGGTCTGGTGTGCTCACCTGGGAAGAGTCACTCCAGGGTGCTGCAGAGTCAAAGGAAAAAAAGCATGTTCAGTAAACTCTGTCATTTGCAAAACCTGCATTGTTTAGTCTGCTTGAATCAGACCGTTTTTCCACTTAGTACACTTGGACGTGAACAAAGGAATCTATCCCAGAATTTACTAAAAAAAAAAAACTGAGGTCTTGGGTATTTTGGTCAGCAGCTGAGTAAGTTTGTCAGAGGTGGGAACATAACCTCCATCTGAACCAACCCATCTGAACCAACCCATTTCTAAATGCATAGAAATGTGCTCTATCAAATACACAAACATTACAAATGTTTTACATCATCACTGCACACAGAATTTCAGAAACACTTGAACCATGAAATGTTAACTTGACTGCCAGGTCAGTGGTGGACTCTCACTTTGCCATGTCGGTCAATCTTGACACTCAAATACATTTCTAAAGTATCAGACCCCGGTAAGGGCTCAGCAGTCTAGTTCTTATTACCCCCATTTCTCATCTTATGAGGATCCGTTAGTTTTCCATTTGATGCTTTTCAAGTTATACAACTTATATACTCATGCTAAGAAACAATCATAAGCTGTGGATCAAGACTTAATTAGGCCTATCATTTGGTAAAATCCTGCCTTAACCTAAACAGAAATATGATTGCACATCAATGTGATCTGCTAGTTAATCCTTGTATTTTGGATATATCCTGTATGTTTAATCTACCACAGCGTAATAAATTCAGGTCATTTGTGAACCCTTCACAAATTGACTCTTCACTATTAATACGTGTTTGCATTTGTTCTAGTCTCTTTTGTAGTTATAACACTCATCTTAAGTTACTGACTTACTACATTTAGTGTGCCTGGATACATTGTGCAAGTTGAGGTTTTACAGAATGTCTACATTTAAAAACGTAACAGTATAGTTATAACAGTATCAACTAAATTCTAATACCCATCCCTTCCAACAAGCGTCCTTTAGTGATGAACTAAAGCAGGTGTTTAAAACAGTGATCTATCCCTCAGGGAAGACCTTTTGTATCAGAGTTAGAATATGTTCTTACCACTAAAGTTATGCCTTCCTCCTCCACGTCTATAGCTGTGTTGATATCCAGAGTCCTGAAAAAAACACAAAGAACTTCAACAGGACTTTTAACACAAGGCAGCTTGCAAGCATATACATTTCTTGGCTTGTGCTTATGAGCTAATTCTTGGTTGTCTGTAACATGCCAAATTACATAACGTACTAGTTAGAGGTCGATCGATTTAAGATTTTTAAAAGGCTAACATAATAACGGTAGTTTGGAGCAGGACAAAGCAGATAGCGAGCACACACACACACACACACACACACACACACACACACACACACACACGCAGCGAAAATGTCCCATCTGGACGGAATATATTTTTTTTCTTTTAAATCTGTTGACCTGGACATGGTTTCTCTAGTTTAAAGATATAGCTTTTTTATGATAAATCTGCTCAATTATCAACGATGGCCCAAACGACAAGAATAGGCCCTCATGCACCAATGACCAAAAAATGGAAATTATGGCTAAATTGATGGTTAAACCCATTTGATCATCGAAATCGAATTAATTATATTTATAATCTCTCACTATATAAGAACATTGTGCGCACAATTGCAGTCAGTTGAAGCTGAAATGTGAGCTGTGATCTACGTGTACATCAGACAGTTTTGGTAATAACTTTACCATTTGCCTTTATTTCATCTTCCGAATAAATGTGGCTAACCTGGGATATGTCTCATCATTCAAGTCCCTGTCAACAAGTAAGTATGAAGCCATGTCACACTCTGGATCTCAGCAATTCATTTAGTGCGTTTAAGGTCATTATTACAGGTAGGAATTCTCAGCTCTTGGTGTACGTTTTCTCTGATCAAGCGACACGGGTATGTTTCACAAGGTAATTTCCACTGAAGACAATGCATCATTATGTTGTGCATTTGTGTTTTTAAGTGTTTCACTAATCAGTCGCCCAATGTTTTTTTTTGACTCTGGAAGCTAATCAAATATCTCAATTAAGTACCCTGTAAAATAATTGGACAAATTGCTTAACATGCGTATCTGTTCTAGTTGTAATCGTTTGTAGATCCTAATATGTGCTGAAAGAGAAGTGTAGGAGTGAAGACAAGGAAAAAAAAATGTCTTAGCTTATCTTCAAGGGAGCTTTAGACATGTTCTTGGGTGTGAGACAATTTACAAACAGCCAACTCAACTTTGACATAAAATTGAAGCTCAGTTCAAAGAAAACCAACTGGATATACTAGTCATAGTACTGCCTCAGTCACAGAGCCAATAAGACCACTAAATAGAGAACATAGCAATTTACTTACCCTAGCAGCATAGAGGAGAGGGCCAGAGTCTCTTAGATCAGTCTGGGGGGTGTAGGATCCTCCTAAGGAGTAGAAATCAGTGATGAGCTTCATAACTACCCCAGTCAGATTCATTTGAGCCCAAGCTTCAGCCAGGATGTGACAAAGCTACCCTACAACACCAGATCTTGATAGGATATCTAGCAAAAGTAGAGACAGGAAACGCAGGGGTGGAAAAGGAAAGCTGAGGATAGATACCTCGAAGCCAACCAGAAGAGCGAAAGGGTTGTGCCAGTCCCTTGCTGCCATGTGCCATACCTCTCACTGGTCCTCTGGTGTAGTAAGACTGGCTGGGATGACCTACGCTTTCACATGACTGGCCAGGGGACAGGAAGATCGGTCCACCATTACCAATCGTATAATCCGACTGGTACTCTAGAAAGGTGAAGCAGCACAAAATGTGTCTGACACAATAGGCTGTTGACCATTCAGTCCATGCTTTTTAAGATTTTTGGAACAATTCATTTGATCAACATACCCAGCTGTGGTTCGTCTTCTGAGGGAGCAAACTCAGGTGGCGTTTGGGTACTGGCAGTGCTGTACCTGGCCTTATCAAAAACAGCAGAGTCTGGTTTGTAATTTAAGTCCCCATTCTGAGATAAGGAGGCAGTCGCCTTGAAGACCTACAGTGAGAAGAAAATGTACATCAAAGAAACTAAGACAGACTATTGTTCAAATCTCACAGTAGAATGCATCTTGAGTGACATTTGATTTGTTGTAGTGGGGTAAGAACAAATTATCTACTACTACAGTGGCTATTTTGCATTTCCTCTCAGGTATGGACTTCAAAAACTCGTATTTAATGATGACAGGCAAATCAACTGTTGAGGTTTGTCTTGCTGTAACTTTACTTTAGGTAAAAAGCAAACTAGGCGTCCCTTTGATGATTGAAAGCATTTCCATTTACACGGACGCTACGCTAGTCCATGTTGATGTGTACTTGGGCAAGACACTTATTCACACACCGCAGGCACAGTGGTTGTTTCTTAGAGTCCTGATGGGCAGGTGGTGCCTTGCATGGTAGCCCCCTACCATCAGTGTATGAATGACATTGTTAAAGTGCTTTGAGTGATCTGAAGACTAAAAGTGCTATACAAGTACAGTCCATTTACATCAGTGACTAGCACCATTTACACCTAATGTGTCTTGGGCAGATCAGATAGCGAACCCATATCAAAACAGTGTAAATTCAACAAAGCAGTAATAGATACCGACTGAAATTTGATTGAGAGTGATCCCTGCATTTGCAAAGGTTATTATTCGGTGGGCAATTCTTAGCCATTACCAAACAGCTTCAGGTGTATTACCACCACCTTTTGGACTGGAGCAACAGATTTGAACATAGCCCGGGAGTGTTATCTAGCCAACAAGGACTCAGTCTTGCAAAATACCAATGAGAAGCAAGTGTGCAAGTTCACCATCCAACCAAACGGAAGACCAGCAAGCTACACCAGAAAACCCCATTTCTACTGGGTACATGCAATCCTTATCTGATGAAGGAAAAAAAAACACCCAAAAGCCCATGCAGCAGCATTGCTTGAGAGATTCTCCAGGGTCAGCTATGGTGTACAAGACAAGGGTCATGTGTCAAAGTAGGGTAGCCAAACAAGCACTATCACATTTCTCTACAAGCTCAAACCACCTTTATACTTTGAAAGTAATGACTAAGGCTCCTGAAAAGAGGCCTTTGGCTGTCACACAATCCCAGCAGTATCCGGCATTGCTTCCCTTGACCTGGGATGCATCAGGTCCATGACCAGTCTGCCAGCTCCATTTACCTAATTTACACATTGAGATTTAACGAAGTTCAAGAATTGATATAAGGCGCTTTGTAATACCAGGTGTAAAAGCAAAGGCACCAGGATTGAATGTCAAAACATATCCAGACAACAGCAGCCTTTTGGTAAATAGACTACTTGTATAGCGCTTTTCTAGTCTTCCGACCATTAAAAAGGGCTTTACCACTACACGTTAACAATGACCCATTCACACACTGATGGCAATAAAAATATACAATGAATTATAATAGGGCCTCGCCGACTCTGGCCCTAATCATTTATTCAGTTTTAACAGGATCCTCACCAACCGCTAGTTGGTGCTTGGGCCTGAATGATGCATACTTTTGCTAATACTTACTGGTTGGATGTTCTGAAAATGGGCAGATGTCAGAGTTCGCCTGGTGGGGGGTGTAGAGAAAGTTTGCCCCCGAGGAGGGCTGGAGGTGCAAGATATCACCCCATTACAGGGGGACGGCTTCCTTGACTCAGTTACTGGGATCTGTGGAACACCAAGAAAAGGTTAAAAGTAACATTAAAAGCATTGACTACAACATAGAAGTGGCACAAAACTCTAAGCTGCAACATACTTACATGAGGTAAGTCTGTTGAGGAAAGCTCCAGGTCACAGATCTCCAGGCACCGATCCTCAATTGTCAGACTGGCTTTGCGCTCCAGAAGCCTGGTAGGCAGTGGGGTGGACTAAGTGGGGGACGAGGATGAGGTGATGACAAGTCCAAGTGATTTCAATTTTTGATCACAACAGACTTATCACAGATAGAAAGTTCTGACATCTTACATGCATTGCTTTGGGCAGGACAGCAACAGGGCTTCTCAAGTCTGTTTGACCTGGTTAGTTGGGAGTTTAAAATAAAGATCAAGACATTACAAAGGTAACATTTTCATATGAATTTCACCACTCAAGTGCATTTGCTGTCCATACCCAGCACCCTGTGGAAGTTTATTGTAAGCAAAATATGTTTGTATTCAGTGCTTTTCATCCAAATACATTGGTGTTTTGGTGAGAGGTCTGAACAGGACTACGTCCAGCCATGCTTGCAGCTCCATGAGGTTGTACATAGGCCAGCCGTGCTTTCAGCTAAACACTCAGGTAAATACTAGGTATGCCAACATACTCTGTCTGCACAATAACGTCCATATTAAGCCATGTCTAGCTAGCAGTCTCTTAGACATTTGGTCTCAGAAACGCACTTTATCATTAAAAATGATAGCCCTAAAATTTATCATTTTAGGGCTACAGCTATCTATTATCTTAGTAATAAGTAGGAAGTATAGAAAAGAAAAAATAAGACTGGCCTCTTTAAAATCAACTTTCCTTAATAGAAAAATAATTTTAATAAAATGATCTGGCAAAACCAAAGGCATTTAGTGCCATATTAAATTCTGGGTTTTAAAGAAAACACTCGGAATTAAAATATTAAATTTATTTCAGATGGATAAAAAAGAAAAAAATGTTTTACGTCTGATGGAATATACTCTCTTATAAGTCTTATGGGCCATTTGTCTTTTATATGGCTATACTAGTAACGTGATAAAAACAAAACAAAAAACATGGGTACATTTTATGATTTTATCCAGAGGAAGTGGTTGAAATTACCCAAAGTGTGTTTGGAACGCTCCCAAAGACTGGAAAGGGTGCGCCTAACTAATAATAATAATAATAATAATAAATCAATTTTCTATAGCGCTTTTCAAAATACCCAAAGATGCTTTACAAGGTAGAGACAACCAGAACAAACAAACAAAAAAAAAAAAAAAAAAAA